ATCTGCACTGGTAGGGGAAGTTTCCTCACCAGGCAGTTCCCAGTACCGATATCATCACCTACCCTTACTAAAACAGTAGATAAGGGGAATGCTACAGATATAGTTTACCTAGATCTTAGCAAATTGCTTGATAAGAAGAAAAAGATGGAGAGATGTGGGTTAGGTTAGACAGTACAGTTAGATGGATTCAGAGCTGACCCGACTCAAGAAATAGCCATTAATGACTTCACATTAGCTTGAAAGCAAGCCTCCCATGGAGTGCTCCAGGGATCTGTGCTGTTTCACATTTTTATCAATAACTCAGATAAAAGCATAAAGAGCATCCTTATTAAATCTGCAGATGACACAAAGCTAGGAGGGATAGCTTATACACTGGGTGATGGGCTCAGCATCCAAAAAGATCTGGAGAGATCTGAAAATTGGGCTGAATCTAATGAAAATGTGTAAATGAAGTCTTACACTTGGGTTAGAGAAATCAATTTCACAATTTCACAAGTTCAAGAGCAGGTGATATGGTTAGATAGTAGTCTATCTGAAAAGGAGCTAGGGATTTATAACAGATGGAAAAGCTCAGTAGCAGTCTAAAAAACAAATGTAATATTGGGCTAAACTGAAGGGCCTATCTTCCAGAAACAATCTTCTGACCTAGTTGCACTACTTCTGGAATAATGAGCACTGTTCTGGGTCCCAGATTTTAGGAAGGACACTGATGATAGAGGGTAACCAGAATGGTGAAGGACCTTAAGTCCACACCATACAAGGATCAAGTAAAGGAACTTGGAATGTTTAGCACGGCAAAAAGAAGAATCAGTGGGGAACAGAAGCCATCTTCAAGTACTTTGAAGGCTGTTATATGGAGGGGCGGCTAAACTTGTTCTCTTTGGCCCCTGAATGCAAAACTAGAAACAATGGGTCGAAATTACAAACCCTTGGCTGGATGTGAGGAACAACTTCCTAACAATCAGCATTATCCAAGAGTAGAACCGGCTAGCCAGGCAAGTGTTAAGTTCTCTCTTCAAGTCAAAATGGGATGACCACTTGTCAGGTGTATTGTAGCAGGGATTCTATTTCTGGCATGGATTAGACTCCAGATCTCTTGTGGCTCCCCCCTCAGCCCTCAAATTTCTCTAATTCCATGTATACAGTACCTTGCACAAAGGACACAAGTACTAGAATAGAGGATGTTTTTTGGCTAGGAAAAAACAAATCCAAATAATACCCAACTTATACTGCACCTTTGGCAATGAAGTATTCCACATGACTTTTCTAGATAATAAAATTGATCTGCTTATACCCTCTTAAGGTTTTAACCACTTGGAATGCAAATCTTTTAAAAACATATTGCATACACATTTCCCTGTTGTCAACAGTTTATACTAAACTTAAGTGAATCTTTTCTCAATAGGCCAAGGTCATTGGCAAATGTTATTGTATTGTACAGTATTAGGTCTTAAGGGGCCACTGAGGTGCCACAGACTGTTTTTCCCTAAGCTAAATGGCATCAAATTGCTCTGCATTTTGAGCTCCGTCTGCTTTTCATTAAGTTTATGTCCTCTGCTGTCAGACTATGATCTATCACTTCTTACTACAACCAGTGTTCTTGTTTCTAACCCTAATCACCCTCAACCTCACTGAATTTGATGCTTCAGCTGCTATGGGCTAGGAAACCAGGTTGTTTTATACCTTGTGTTTTTACAATTTGCTCAATCTGTGGTCTCATTGGTGTATTCCCTCCAACTGGGCAGACTGAAGCCCCTCCCCCTATGCCTTTTCATCTCACAAGAGGAGACCTAGCTAATCAAAGTAGCTCATGTACTGAACACATGTTCAGTGGGCGACGGCTGCTCTTTCTAGTTGTTCCATCTTGTGCTTAAATAGAATAGTCTTGATGAAATACATTCTTACAAGGCCTCACAAACTGACTATCTACCACTTAAATAGAACTGTCAAGGAACACAACTCCTGAAACAGATGTAGCAAAGGTGCAATTCTCAGCAGCATGCTGGCAAAATGGAACAAGCACTGGACTTGTTAGCCAAGAGACCTGAAGGTTGGAATTCCAGCTCTAACACTTCGCAGCTGACAAGTCACAAGCTCTTAGACTCAGTTTCTTCATTTTACTTGCATTACCTATTTACATTATTTGTCTGCAGAATGTGCTTTGGAAACAGGAGTTGTTACTGTCCAGTTCTATAAATTCTCCCCAGCCCCCAGGATCTACCCAATGCACTAGCATTGCATTGGCACTGGGTCTACTGGCAGTAGACATCTTCAATAACAGAATTCCAACAGACTGGGTGCTCTTGGAGCAGAGGTGTCAAACATGTGGCCCACGGGCTGCATGCAGCCTACCACACTCTCAAGCATGGCCCAAGCCAGATTAAAATGGAATTGAGAAATATTCAACAAAATAAATACAAATTCAATAAAACACAGATAACATTACATTTTACCACTAGGTCAACATGCAGAGCCCTCAGCAATCCTATGTATGATTCAGGGCCCCCCTGTTTCTATTTGAGTTTGACACCAATGCTCTAGAGAATTAATTACTTTCATTATCAATATGGCTATGTCAAACATAATTTAATCTTTCCTTCATGGCTCAGGGCAGTATTACAAACCCCGTTATTGTACTGGGCTGAATTACAATGATGTCTCCAGAGGCTACTTCAGTGCCAAGCGTCCTTTGACCCTACACTCAGTGGCCTGGAAATACTATTCTTTTTTAACATTCTGCTTTTTATGATTTGGTCATTTCCTGATGCTGATTTCCTGATATGTCTCTAACACCTACATTTAATTTGCTGCTTTTACTCCGAGATGAGCTAGAAAACCAGATTTCTTTGTATATCATAGGTGCTTATTTACTAAATGGTTATTTCAACCAATTTAGGTGGAAACCTTAAAAAATCCTCTCAGACAGAATATAAGCACATCAATAAAACTGTTCCAACCAACATCTTGTCCTTCATGCATTACAGCTAAGACTCATTCTAAAGTCAGGTTCTCCATATATCTTCAATTTAAGTCATATTGTTGGTCAGGTTGCTCAATGTCAGAAGAGATGTTAAGTATTTTCAAGGTTTTAAAACTTAGACAACTGCTACAAGTCAAGTCACATCCCATTAGTCACCCTACCCATCCAGTCTCTCAAAATAAATGAGAATTTGGATCTACCGTCTAGGGCTGCAGGAGGCAATTACCCCTTCTCTTGACCACACTGCACTGGGACTCAGTATTTTTCCAGTATTTACTTTGTTCCTCTGGAAAGATGGATTATACCTTTCCCCAGCTGTGGACAATAAATCCCTTCCCACCCCATTTCCCAAAATACCCAAACTCATCTGAGTTGTTCAAGATCAATACAGAGATGACAAGAGTTTAGAGGAATTCTGTAGGTTTTTTTCTAGCCACCTTCCAGTATAGCACTGGATTCCTTCTTGTTGTCAGAGCAGAGGCCTTCCCCATTTCTCTGCATGGCTACAAATCTAAAGGTTCTCTCCCCTAACTAGACAAGTCCTGTCTTAACACCTTGGGGAGGGAGGAGTCTATTTAGTGTACCTAAGCCCCACTCAATTCTCAAGTTTCTAAAGACGACTTTAAACTTTCATAGCCTGAATTTTGGCTACTTAGGAACACAGTCTTCCCTTTGTAATGTTGTTACTTCCCTATTTTAATGTTTAACGTTGCTACTTTTTAATGTTATTTAATGTTATTATTGCTCCCCTACACACACAATGCTATCTCACCTACTCAAGATCCGGGAAACCAATTATGTGGAGAACTCTACTATATTAAGTATGATTTAAACTCTTCTTAATGTCATAGTCTCATTATTATGCTTGCTGATCATGGTTTCCATTGTGATGTCTTCAGTTGTCATCATAGGTCATTTGCTCCTATACTAAATGGCTTCAGCTGCTGTGCTTTTGGTTTTTCTGTTTTTCATTCTATTTGTCTCCTCTTTTGCTCTCAACAATATTATCAGTTCTTGATGCTGGTGACTGTACCTGTCAACCTCTCCTTTTAAGGCCTAGTACATTCCAATGCCAGCCACAATTTCCCTGCCACTAACTTCAATGACCTTTCCCTCCTTAGAATTCTCAGGATAACTCTGTACTTTGTATTTATCTTTATGCAGTGTTGTCTCACCTCCCTACATCATAACCTCCATGACAGTAAGCTTACATTGTTAACATGTGTATCTCAAATGGTGCTTGATACATAGGAGATGTTTAATGTTTGGGGCTAGGGAGAGAAATAGGAACCTGACTTGTGATTTCACTGATAAATGGAACTCCCTAGGAAATAAACTCCTTTCCTCCCTGTGTTTGGGGGAATTATTGAAAATGGATTAATAAAACTACATTCTAATTTCTTCTAACTCTTAACAGCTAGTAAGGGAATAATATATTCCTTAAGAACCTTTGTAGTTAAAAAAAAATTCGGTGGTAAATCTTGTGGTAAATCTTCAGAGAACATTAAAACATAACAGGCAAACTTTTTAAAGAGTCTATATATCTTTAAAGTAGTATAATCCCATAGAGAGTCATCAAATAATATAATCTTCTATTATTTGATTTTTTTCATCCTGGGACAATTAGAAACATTGTGAGGTATAACTTAAAATTAATATTGACTTCCTTCAGAATTATATACCAACAAATGATAATTACTTTTAAAAAAACAAATTCCCATAGCAGATAAATTTTACAAGGTCTCCAAAATTGAAAATTGCTACTTACAGAGTAAACATTAAACAAAAATCTCATAGGTTGATTAGCTTTTTCAGCAATGGCCGAATGCTAAATTTCTTGCTACTACGACACATCTAGCACTTAATTATAAGGAAAAGCTATATCTAAAGGGTAAATATTTTTTTCCTGTCTTAAACGGTTCAGATAGGAATACAGACTGGACCTGTGATTTCATATGTATAGGAAGCCAATGCAGGTCAGTACATTCTCTGCAATTCAGATATTTACTGATAAACTTACCAGACTGTGACGGTTCATCACTGTTGTACTATTCCTCCGGGTTCGGATTACATAAGGCTGAAAAATCTGTGAATTATCACTGGAAAATAAGAAGAACTGTTACCGAATCTCCTTATCAAAGACATTTTTACTTTTTTTTTTGTCAAACTTTTAGCTCTTATCATAGACTCAAGGTTTCAACCTTCTCTTTTGTAGACAGGTTAAACAACTTACTGAGATCTCCAGATCTTTGTATTAGCACATACTCCCTCTTAAATGAATACTTTATCACACAAAAGAACTATGTATCTCATGATTCAAGAAGCAACAGTACATGTCTAGAACAGTCTAAATATTGTTATTATATACTATTTGCTCCTCAAATCTGAAAAGTCATAGGCCAGTGTCTGTCAGAAGCAAAGGGCCTTTTTGAACTTCTGATCTTAGCCATGTGAAAATAACCTCAAATGACCAAGCCATCCTTCCCTCAAATTAAAAAAAATTAACAAAGAAAAAGGACACTGGTCAAAATAGTTTATGTACACCTGAGCTGATACAAATATATGTTCAACAGGTTGTTCCATATTTCATTTTGTGCTTAAATAGGATATTCTTCATGAATTCCACAAATACAAGGCCTTATAAATTGGCTATCTAGTCAAATGGAATTTTGAAAAATGCTACTTATAAAATAGTGATGGAAAAGATCTGGGAAATACATATATACAAAAATCCCATTAATGTTTTAATCAGTCTAAAAATACGTGACTTGTCCAGTTAATAAGCCAACACTAAAGTTTAAGATTATACAATTTCCTAAGTTTTCTAATCTCACAATTTCCTCAATCTAAACTACATTTCAAAGGAGGTTTTTCTGGCTGGCATTAAATGAAAGGACTGTGATCTGTATCCTTCAATCACAGATCCTTCAGTGCATCAAAGTATTCCTGGAAACTAACTTTAGGTTCTGTAAATGATATACAATATTTCCTACTACGAAATCATTTCCAATCATCTCAAGAGAAATGGCTTCATCATTAAACTGTCAGTTAAAATATGCTTTAGTGTAGGTTCTTTCTTTGTAATATCACAGGGAGGGCAAATCCCTCAATGCCTCTCGAAACAGGTGTTAAGCTAAAGCTCCGGAAGTTTCAGATTGACATTAGCTGTTCAGAATCAGGGAGGCCACACAACCTGTCAAAGCGGGCAGCCAACTCTGCAGGTCACTTTACATCAAGGCCAGTACTCAGATTCCCCCCTTCAAGTCCTCTTCCTCCAAACTGTCATCCCACCCTCATACCGGACCTGCTTAACCCTTTTGTAAGCATGTCTGTCTTCCCCCTCCGCACCCTGCCCCGCCCCCCATCGGCTACACTTCTCGGTTGCCCTCAAAAGCCCCCGGGTCCAGAGTCTCCCAGTTGCACTGGAGAGGGTAGGTGGCCTGCTTGGGGGCCTGGAGCCTAAATTCTGTATTCCCCACCCCCACCACCTCCTACCCACCTGAGCCCATGGATCAAGGGAGCACTGTTGGACCTCCTCAGGCTGCCCCCATCCGGGGGGGCGGTGGCAGTAGTTGGCAGCTCCAGGTCCAACTCCATTTTCTCCTGAGCCATGCCGGGAGGCTAGGTATCGGGATGTGGGGATGGCCTTTGGCTAGGATCGGTTCTCAGCTCTGGGTTCTCTCGGCTCCCACTCACTGCAGGACAGGGAGAGGGGGAGAGAAGGAAGCAGCAGGAGGACGTGGTGGCTCTAGAAGGAGAAGGGGAGGCTCATACTGCCGCCTTCCCGGGGGCCTACAAACATCGCGGCCACCCTGGCAGCCGATCACACGATGCGGGGCAAAGGCCCAGCATTGGTAGGGCCTGGGCGTGGGTCTGGATCTGGGTCTGGGTCTGGGTCTGGGCCTGGGCCTGGGCCCAGCCCCCCATGCTCCGTCCCGGGACTTCGCCCCGCTAATTCTAGGTTCCCCACTCCCCACCACCCCACCAGATAAGGGCTACAGATGCAGCCAATCCTCCTCCTCCTCTTCCTCAGGCCGGCAGGAACAGCCCCGGAGAACCAGCTGGCGGGTTGGGGCCAAAACAAAAACTACAACCTGCTGCCTGTTCTGCTTCCGCCGCCGTCGCCACAGCTTCCGAAGCCTCAGCAACAGCAGGGCCGGCCCTCTTTCCGCCACTCCTTCTCCGCAGGCGCTCTGTGACCACCCAGGCGCGTCAGCTCCCAGGAACCATGCGCAAGAAAACAACTCCGCGAAAAGGAGGAGCCTTTGCCGTAGGCGGGGCACTCAGGTAGTAACTATTGGCAGATGGGCCCTGGCGCTAGAATTTGAAAGGGACCAATGGGCTGGCGGAATACGAGCTGCTCCTTCTCGGAGGGGGCTCGGGCCAATGGCTGGAGGAGAAAGAGTAAGGACCCTAAAACCCCTCAATTTCTCCCCACTCCGACCTTCGGGTGACTCCGTGGCCAATCAGGGAAATTACCTAAATCCGGCAGTTCTGGTGGTCTTTCTTTGGAATGGGGGGGAAGGGAGAATGATTTCTTATTGAATTGGAGTGAACATTTGTGCAGCTTTTTAAGATGCTCAAGTGGGGAGCACTAGGTCAGAGGGAGGTAAAGGAAAAGGGAAAATCTTGTCAGAATTGTATGGTTCTACCTCCACGCAATTTTTATAAATCCTTCCTACTCACCCCCTCCTCCCTTTTCGGAACATGCTATTTATTGTCCTTTTCCCCTTTAAAGATAAGTAGGTAGAAATACTCGTCCTTATTTTTTTTACCAGTACAGTTAATTTAAGAGCAGCACTAGTGTATTAGATAGAGCGGTGGAACTGGAATCAGAAGGACTTAGGTCCCAGTCCCTCCCTCCTCTGACAAATTATCAGCTGTGATAAGGGACAGATCATTTCACCTCTCAGAGCCTCGGTTTCTGCATCTGTAAAATGGGGATAATTACAGGATTGTGAGGAAAGAGTTGTATTGCAAGCGTCCCAGAGCTATAGAAATGCGACTTATAAAGTCTGTGAAAGAAAGAGAGCAGGAATTCAGTTCCAACACATACTTATTAAGCATGTGCAGGAGCCAAGACAGCTGATCCTGACAATCATGATTCAGAGGCATGACTACAGCCAGAGGATGGCTTTGAACTCCTGGCTCTGCTTTGACCTTACAGCTTTAAAGCAGGTAATGTTTTGTGAAAACTGGAATCTCTTGAGCCTCCTGTATGGATATAGCTCAGGGGAAAAATCCTGTTGGTACTTGAAAACTGACTTGCACTCCTTTCAAAAATACTTTAAGTTCGCCATATCAACCTGCAAACATGTTTTACCTGCTTGTTTCCAAGAAGCTGTTTGTTCTTGATTATTCTCACCCCACTTTAACTGCTCTTTTACCTCTCAACCCCGTTTTCAATTTCTAACACTGTATCATTTGCCTGAAAGGCAATGTGGCATTGCAGGTAGGGGACCAGCCAACCTTGGAGTCAAAAACACTTGGGTTCAAATGTTGTTTATGGCACATACTAGCTGTGTGACCATGGGCAAGTAAGCCATCTAGCTTGGATATGTCTCAGATTTTTCTTAAGACCAAGTTATAGATGAGTTTCTGATCTGCCTCTGTGGAAGAAGCCCTATGTGGGAAGTTCCCTACCCTCATGAAATTTGGGGTCCAGACCACTCTCTCCCTACCCCCAATTATTTTGTATCCGTTGATTCATTGTTTGTAATTGTTTGTCATATTCTTTCTATGTGTTTTAGTTCCCCAACAGTTCCCACACAGCAGACAGTATATTTGTTTCTTTTCTATTCCCTTCACTCCTCCCCCCTCCCCAAGTGACCCAATCTCTGGAAAGATTGGGTGGCAAATATTTACAGAATGACTAGTGGATTTGGTCCCTATCGGTCAAGAGTTTTAAGATAGATTTGGATCACCAATAGAGGAAAACACAGAAAGAATATGAAACCAGTAGAGGAAACTAAGTTGTTTCTATGGATAAGGTTGTCTGATATTTGTTCAAGTTCCTACCCAGTTTCTTTGAGGATTTATCTGATATGGGAGGTTGGGGCTTTGGTATTAATTTGCAGCGCAGTTAGTTATAATGGCCGGAAAATAAGAGGGGCTTAATCCTGATAATAGGGTGAGGCCAGATTGTGATATTCTTTGGGGAGTACTGTTCCTAGGTAACAGGAAATTGATGACATCACAGAGCCCACTGGCATAAGACAAGTGATGCAGAGGAGGAATTGATACAGTTGGTGGATGTGTCTTTGCTATTTATTTGCTATCACGTTTTGAAGGTGGCGAGCAAAGAAGATTGCCCCTGCAATGATTTAAGGTAAAAAGTATTTGTAAAGATTTTACTTTCAAAATTCATTGTGTTTTGGGGGTTTTGTTTTTGTTTTTTGGTACTTGAGGATAGGTGGGGACCTCTGTTTTCATCAATCTGTATAAATCCCACATCGGGGAATGGGAAACTGCCTAGACCCATGTAGAACATGTTAAGAGGTTACCACAGTTGATAATATGTCAAAAGGCAGGGCTTCAACCCATTTGTTCCTGACTCCTAGAACAGTAGATCTAGAACTGGAAGGGACCTTGGAGAGCGTCTAATTCAATCATTCTCATTTTAAAGATGAAAATGGGACCCAGAGAAGTAAAGTGATTTATTTGTCCAGCGTCCCACGGGAAGTGGCAGCCTCAGAATTTGAATTCGGATCTCTCTTTACAAACCCTGAACTCTTTCCTGTACACCTTGGTTCCTCCAAAACCTAATCTTTTATTCACTTAAAATAATGAAGCAAATTCAAATCTTTTTTTGGGGGGGGGTGAGGCTGAAGAGGTGTCCTGTGTTTCTGCTGTGCTCAATATTTGCCCATGACTTAGTGTTCTCTCTGACACTTTGGCTACCGGTTTCTACATCCTCCCGCGTTAGTTTGCTGGCTTTTGCCTTCTGCATCTTGAGTTTTCCAAGGCAGCTAAGTGCCTAATCGCTCCAACTTGTAAAAACCGAGTTGGACAGGCCCCCTCTCTCCTCTCGCCCGCTTTCTCTCCTCCGCACCCACAACAAAAGCGCTGGTCAAAGAGAATCGTCCTAGGGGCCCTTAACCTGGGGAGTAAGGAAGCGGAGAGCTAGTTTTCTAAGCGTCCCCCGGAAACAGGGCTGGGGAAGGAGAAGGGGAGGCAGGACGCCCGGCGCCGGCGCTTGCGCCGTAAGGCCGTGCTGTCGGGGTGGACGTGGGGGCGTAAGCGTGCGGGGCGGACCCTGCCTGCTCTCAGGAGGCGGCAGGTTGCCGTTTTTGTTTTGCCCTCGGCCCCTCCGGTCCTGGGTCCCCGGGGCCCGGAAGGAGGACCGGCGGCAGCCGCAGCCCCGGAGCGTCGGAGTGCTAACTTGTCCCTGAGGCCGAAGGGAAGGGGCTGGGAGTGGAGGGTGCCCAGGCGTGAGGCCGGGGGCCAGAGCATGGGGGCCGGAGTGGCCAGGCCGGGCCCTGCCCCCCGCTGTGCTCTCTGCTGCTGGGCGGGCCTCGAAGCCTTGAACCGGGCCCCCGCCCACGGCCGCCCCGGGTTGGCAGCAGCATGAGCCGCCCCGCCGTCTAGAGTTGCCTCCGCCTCCTCCATCCCCATCACTCCCCACTCCTGGTCCCCGCCCCCCTCACCACCACCACCCCCCGCGTCCTGAGGTGAATGGGAGCCCAGAGCTGAGGCCCGGCACCTGCCCCCCGCCATGGCTCAGGAGAAGATGGAGCTGGACCTGGAGCTGCCACAGGGTACTGACGGGGGCGGCCTGCGGAGGTCTAACAGCGCGCCGCTCATCCATGGGCTCAGGTGAGTGAGGACTAGCTGGGCGGCCGAGGATGCTGGGGGGGGGGGGAGTGCTGTGCGCATGCGCCCTGCATCCGCTTCAGCAGGTGTTTCTTCAACCATCTCCCCTCCTCCATCATTTCTCCATCCCTTTCAAACCAACCCCCGCCTCTATTATCTTCTTCCCACCTCGAACCCAGCCGGTGAACAGTACCGGCTGACCCAGGCGCGCGCTAGCTTGCCCCGAGGTTGACATAGACACCCCGTCCTGGCTGGGAGCCCGGCGGTGCCGCAGCTAATTGCTGTAAAGTGGAGCAGGTGCTTTTCCTGGTTTTGGCTAACTTTCTTCACCATCTCTAGCCCCCTTTTAGGTAACACTCCCTTGTCTCTTCCCCCCCACCCCACCCCCAATCGTTGTGCTCGCGTTCATTTTTTGTCACGCTTGGACAATACTGCTTCCCCACATCATACCAGTACAAATATACTCCCAACTCACAGGGCAGGGTGGAAAGACACTTTCTCTGAACGAAAAAGGTATTGCAGAAATGTTACACCCTGAATGTATCAGATGACAGTAGACATTTCTGACAATGCCAACTAAAATATGTACTTTTAATTGCCCAAGAATTGAATGCTGGTATAGTATTTTGACTTCATTCTTATATTCTGCTAATGTAAGTATGCGCAGTAATTAAGATGCTAGGTTAAGAGCTGGAAGGGACGTTAGGACCATCCAGACCAACTTCCCCTCGTTTTTCAGATGAGGAAACTGAAATGCAGAGAAGCTAAGTGACATATGTGTCCCAAGGTCATAGAGATGGTGATATCTTAGATTTGAATTCAGGTTCTTTGACTCTTGATTTTGGCATTATATCTACTCCAAGCTTTTTGAGGTAAAGAAGCATGAACTTCCATACAGCATAAAGCGAAAAGAAAATTAAGTTTAAAAAAAAAAAGTAATGCATAGGGTCGAGGAAGTGCAGCGAAAAGATGCTGAATTTAGAGTCATTGGATCTGGATTAGAATCTCAGTTCTGCCACTTCCTGACTCTGTTCTTGAGCAAATCACTTAATCTCTCTGGGCCTCGGTTTCCTCATCTGTATTATGAAGGAGTTGGACTAGTTGGTCTCTAAGGCAGGCTTTCTTAACTTTTTGTGAGTCATGGACCTCTCTGGTAATCAGGTAAAATCTATACATCTCAGAATAATGTTTTTTTGATAACTGAAGGAAATGCTAAGTTTCAATTAGAGGATAGTGAAAATTAAGATGTGATTTTTTTTCCCTATCCAGGTTTATG